AGTGAACTTTCTTAAACAATACAGCATCTACATTCAGGCCTTAATTACGCAGCCATGTCTCATTGCTCAGATACAGTGCATTTACTTGTTCACCTTGGAGACAGGGTCTCACTCTGCAGTCTTTGCTGACCTAGAACTTGCTCTGAAGACCAGAATGGCTGCTTACTTACCACAATCCTCTGGGATTACAAGTATGAACATGATATCGGACTTAGCATGCCTTCTTTTACACACCACTATACACTCATCACCCTTATTAGTTAGAGATTGTTTTAACTGCAGGTAGCAGACAAGTTGGCTAAAATGGCTTCAAGCACAAATGCACTTTTATTCAAAGAGAAAGTCCTGAACTGTGTGGTCTCAGAGTTGGTCTAGCATTTTAATGATGTCCCGAGGATTCAAGTTCTTCTTCCTTTTTGTTGTTATCAGCAGGATCCCTTCCATCCTGAAGCAGCTGCTGCTTCTGGAGTGGAGCGTCTTGCCACTCAAATCAGGCTTTAGCAAGCAGGGAGGGGAATAAGATTTTGAGATTGCAACCAACAGCATACACAAGTCTTAATTCTAATGCTCCATTTGGAGAAAATGCAAACCTTGCCACAGTATCATATCATAGGCAAGAAGAAATTAAAATCACCCTATCTGTAGCTATACCAAGAAACATTTGACTGTGCGTACAGTGAGATTATTTGCTCACATGTTTTAAGTTGTAAAGCCTCCTTCATATAATTTGAGTCCAAATTCTAGCTTACTGTGTTTCTTTTCCCTCTATTTCATCCCTCCTCTTTTCATTTTCCTCAACTTGTTTTGTTTTGCTTTAAATTCTTGGCTGAACTCATGTGTCTTGTCTTCTGAATACGTGGAAAATGATTTCTCTTGATTCTGTCAAAACATTCCTGTAGATGTTTGGGATCCCAATGGCATTGCACTTACAAAGTAACTTTGGCAAAACAGAAAATTCCTTATACTATTGGCAACTTTGCCTGAAAGTTTCTGCTATACAATAATGAATCTCTCTCTGAACAGTATCCTTGAAGGAGCAAATGAGGAGGAAATGTGGGTAAAGAAGATGGCTGATAAATATCAAATGGTTAGAACATGCATAAACAGTGGAAAGGACTTACAAACAAGAATAATATACAGTCATCAGGCAAGGGACAAAAAGAAAGCTAAGAGATGGTTTCATATCAACTCTTCACTGTTGGTAGCAATCCCATTTGGAATTTCAAGACAAAAACGAGAAGAATGAGATTTTCTCTGAAGGAGCATTATTTGGCACTAAAGGAATATTGTCACATTGTCTCCCTAACACTCATATAGTTCAATAAACCCTGTAATCAGACTTCACTGAGAAAGAACTCCATGATAATATCTGCCATCTTTCCTCAGACTTGTCCACCATAGCTCGGTATTCTTGGCAGCTGAGATTGATTGTTAGGATTAAATTAGATATGGCATAAAACGTTTGATACATTACCAGTCATAGAGTTGGGACTCAGTAAGTGGTAGTTATTACTCTAAATAGAGGAATATAACAGTAGATAGCTTGAGTGACATGGTACGGATGCAGATAATGAGGCTCTGATTCCTCCAATAGCTTTTTCAAGGTCTTCCACGAAATTTATACCTGATTTCTCAACCATGCTATTCTCACTGCACTAGCTGCTTGCATTATCTATCAGTATTTCACTGTCAGACACTTCTCAGGCTCCTTTAGGAAGGACAATTGTGTCAAGGTGACTATTTCTCCCCAAATACAGATATAAATTAGTAACCTGCAAAATGCTTAATTTGAAAGAATTTTAAAAATGTGAAATCTATGGACAAGAAATCATAAGTACATTTCTAAAGACTGTCATCTAACCATAGGATCATAGATGATTTGTTGCACAAAATAGACCCAAAGACAGATATTTGAGTCTAAGTTTCAAGCTGAAGATCATAGAAGCAAAGCAGCCAAGCCAGTATATTGCCTCTACCCAGATGAAATGGCAATCCTGTATCCACAAATCCTCATCCTTTTACTCCTTTCTATGCCCCACCATATCACTTCTGTCTCTACCTCCCTAGTTCTGTGATTAAAGGCATGAGCTCCATTACCCTTCATTCTTGTATAAGCTAGGGTGGCCTTGAATTTAGAGAGATCTGTCTGCCCGTCTCCCCTCACCGAAGTCCTGGGATATAAGGTGAGTACCATCACTGCCTAGATTCTATGGCTAACTAGAATGGCTGCTTTTCTATTTTGGTCTCTAGTGGGTTTAATAAATCATAAACAATATATCACCTCAATGGTTAGATGTTGGAGGTCACCTAGTTTGTGCTCCTTTATTGATAAAACAATAATTGAACAAGTAAAGAACTTTTCAGAATTAGCACATCACAGTAGCATTAAAATCTACACTCACTGAGTCCCAGCTTAGTTCAGGTTCATGAACTAATACTGTGCACAGAAAATATCAGTTATACCACATGATAAGTGGATATGAAAGCCAAAATCATTAGGGGGTGCTGGGTCTCATTGTTTTGCCCTGACTGGCCCACAACAAACTATGTATACAGACTATCCTCAAACTCATAGAAATCTGTCTTCTTCTGCCTTTACTTCTGGAGTGTAGAGATTAAAGCCATGTGCCTCCATGACCAACTGAGATTCTTTAATAAATCAAAAGGACCACTATAAACATTGTTTTAATTTAAAATATTTCCCTTTGTTTCAACACGTCAAAACCAAACCAGATTAACCCAAATGATGATTAGTTATTAAAATAATTAAGAAAATATAGTTATTTTGCAACTATACAAAGAATTAAAACTTACTTATGCTGTGGTTTGTACACAAATTTTATAACGGATGCCATCATAAATAAATAGAACAATATATGAAAATATAGATGGCTTTTGATTTATTCCTTGGCAATAGTAGTCTTGATTAGTTTGATAGGTATTCTTTTTGTCAATTCCTTTACATTTATAAAGTTTTGGTATTTAGATATTTGGATCAAAATGTTATCTATCTGAGCAATTTTCTCTTTTTTTCTTCATTAGCTTCATTAGCAATATTAGTACAAACAGATATACTTTATTCTTTGTAATTGACAGACATATGAATATCTTATAATTGATGGGATCATAATTATATATTTTTATATCTATGGGTGTCTTACCTACACTCATGTATGTCCAGTGTGTGTGAGTGTGTGTGTGAGTGTGTGTGTGTGAGAGTGTGTGTGAGTGTGTGTGTGTGTATGGGTGTGTGTGAGTGTGTGTGTGTGAGTGTGTGTGAGTGTGTGTGAGTGTGTGTGAGTGTGTGTGAGTGTGTGTGAGTGTGTGTGTGTGTGTGTATGGGTGTGTGGGTGCCTCATGTCAATGGAGGGCAGAAGGAGCTGATGCATCGCATGAAAGTGAAGTTACAAAGTGAAGTTGTAAACCACCATGTGCTTGCTGGGAACAGAATTCATATTCTAGAGTGCTCTTAACCACTGAACCAACTCTCCAGCCTGCATTACTTTTGAAGCAGATTCTTCTATGTAGCTCAAGCTGGCCTCAAACTCACAGTCCTCCTTCTTTATCCTCCTTGGTGTTATAGTTACATCTATTATTATCTTACTGATGATTATTTGGATGATTTATATTTTTATAATTATTATGAAATAAATGTTGTACCTAACCTTTATTTATAAGCCTCTTTGTGCATTTATGTGGTGTTTCATTTCTCTCTGGTAAATACTGTTAGAGAATTAGCCTGCCCAATGAGAAATCACTCCAAGCACTTAGAGATAAAGGAAACACTTTTTGCAATTTTTGAGATTATAATTTAATAACAATATTTATCCCTTCCTTTTCCTCCTTCCAAATCATTCTGTATACACTTCTCTGGTGATATATTATTTAAGATTTATTAAAGCTTGCCTGAGGATTCAGAAAGAAATGTCAGCCACAAGCCATAAAAGCCAGGCACACACCTTTAATTACAGCAGTCAGAAGCTAGGAGGTGGTGGCACACACATTTAATCCTAGGACTCAGGATTAAGAGGTAAACAGATCTCTGTGATTTCAAGGCCATCCAGTTCTATACAAGATAGAGTCAGTCTAAAAAGAGAATTCTAACTCACTCTAGAAGGATGTAAAAGACAGGAGAAAGAAGTCACTAGGAGGCATTCATCTCCAGTCATGCTAAGGAGAGGTTACAGTCTGAGGCTTGGTGAGACTCGTGGAGACAGGATCAGCCCATTCAATCAGAGGTAGAGTTCACAAGTTAGTTGCCAACTACTTTGCTTTTCTGAATTTCAGCTTGAAGTTTGAACTCCAATATCTGTCTTTGGGTTCTTTTATTTATCGTGTTACACACCTCCTTGCTGTTCTTAAATTTCAAGGCCTCTTTTTTACACTAATTGCTGTATCATGAATATTCCTATATATACATACATATTCCTAAATATAGCCGATTCGTTTCATGTAATGCTACATGTGTGTATGTTTTCAGAACTGTCCTTCTGGTATTCGATAATGAATTAATATGCTGTTTCTTGGCAAAAGCTCCCTCTCTTGTTCCAAGCTTCCCTAGATGTTTGAGTTACCTATAGGGGTGAGGCCTCCATTCCATTGGATATGTACATCCCTGTCATCCTTATTCAGAAAAAGCTCTTTAGTAATAGTGCATGATTGGTTCTGGTTAATAAACAAAAGGGAACCAGTCTAGAACAGAAAAGTTGACCTTGTTATGGAGGTCTCGGGTTTATGCATTCCAGATATGCTGTCATCCTCAAATATTCTTTGGATCTCTACCCCTGGTTACATTTTGAACTATTAAAAAAAACAGTCAACTTGATGTCTCACTACTTGGGCAGATGGGAGTTACACAGCAAAGATGACAGATATTTTCCTTTTATTTTTTTGAGTATCGTAAAAGTTTATTTAGCAAAAACTTTCATATGAAGACATACATGACCCAATTCTACACCACAATGAAATAGGCCCTTTGGGGAGTGATGTGAACTCTTGTGCTAAACAGACAAGGCTTCTAATATGATTATGCTGTTTCTTTTTATGGTCACATTCCCATGTTATTCTGCTGCCCCTAGTTGCCATCTCCACACGCTCATCAGGCACAAGACTTATAAAGGAATCAGAGCCCCATAGGATTCCTTGTATGCAACTGCCACCATTTATATTCAGTGGTAAGTTCTTCAATTCAGGAGGGTTGGCTATGCTCAATGGTGACCCCTTAGCAGACTCAGCATGAAGGCACAGAATCATAAGCAAACCAGGTTTTTTTTCTTTTAAAATAGTTGTTACTCAGAGTCATCTTTCCCACCTAGCAGAATTGTGCTTTTCCTGATAAGGGGGGGGCACCTAATGTTAGACATTAGATTAGGGAGGTGTTAATTGTGGTTGTGACCCTGCATTGACACCTTGAGCTGATACAGTCTTTGATATGGGGAAGGACCTAATGGCTGGTTGTAAATCAGGGTCGTCTTTTGTTATGCAATGAAACTTAATTGGAGGTCAAAGGTTAGCACAAACTTTCCTAGCAAACTTTCAATATGGTTAAAAGCTGATCTGCAGTTTCTAACAGGACAGACTAGTACACTACTTACCCGCCAGTAATATTGAAGGCGGTGCTCCTTTGGCTAAATTCTTCTTTGTGGAACTTAGTATTTCCTGAGCAAGTTTATTCGTAAATCCTTTACAGTATAAATTTTACTGCTTCAAGTTTCTCCTCCATCAATACCAGAAAGCATGTAAATGTGGTTAGATACTGTTAAATTGTCCTAACACATGATTTGGTCGATTTATACAACTGTCATTAGTAGATAAGAAAACAAACTCTTCAAAAATGTGCTAACTCTTAACATTATTCATTCTGAGTTCTTTTTGCTGGGCACATAACAGCATCTTGTTCTTCTGTTCCTTCACAGTTACTTCTTAACAATGTCATAGCAAACTATTTGCATTTTTCCTTCATATATTACAGATAGCATGATACATCTTCCAAATTTTCTGTTTTCACATGAGAAAACCATTCTTGTTTTTCATTTTTAAGTCTCTTTTTCTCCTGAAAATTAAACAAATATATACTTTAAGTTTTACATATTTTCTGGGGTTTAGCTGATTTTTAGTCCACCTTGAATTTATTTTTGACATATGTAAATATGGAGAATTAATTGGCAGAGTTAACATAATTATAGAATTGTGTTACACAGTAGTAAGCATTTAAGGGAAAACAGCTTAATTGCTGAAAGATTAAAAACAAGGAAAAAGGTAAAACTGTCTCCTTTCTCTAAGTCAGAGGGTTTCTATTCATTTATTAAGAAAATAAATGTGATCCATTGCCTAATGATTTGCATGTTTGTATGGTTCTCTAATCTTTATATTCTCCGTTTCCAGAGTTTAATGGTAATTGGTATTTTAGCATATTTAAAAATTAAATTTTATCTTCTCTGATTTTTATTGAGTTGTCAGTTTCTCTTTGTTCCTATTTCCTCATACACAACCTTTTTATTTCAATTGAAATTTTAATACATGTAAATACATATTTATTTACTATTTCATGCATGTTACTTTAGTTTTATTAATATATATAAAAGTAAAAAATAAATTGTTTCTGATGACAGCCATCTATAACAATATGTTTCACTATTCTTTACTTTGTATCTGTGTCTCACAACACACACACACACACAGACACACACACATACACAGAGAGAGAGAGAGAGAAACAGAGACAGAGACAGAGACATAGACAGAGAGAGGAGAGAGTTGAGATTCTTTTGAGTTTCAATGCAGACTACGATTAAATTCAATGGCATGATAAACAAGCAAATATTTAAAAAGAAACAAAATCTTTTGCAACTGTGCTTGGGAAAATGAAAAATAAACCTCAAACTTCAAGGAAGAAAGATACTGACCTTAACAAATGGTAAAGAAAGATCATACTTACACAATAAAGATTTTAGAAATCTGTGTATTTCTATAACTACAAAGCTCTATTCTCCTCCCTGAAAAAAACATGCACTAATAATCAGACATAATGGACAATATATCACATGCATTACAATGAAATAATATCAAGATGGATTGGCTTGTAGTTCTGTCACAGAGTAAATGGTGTGTGTGTGTGTGTGTGTGTGTGTGTGTGTGTGTGTGTGTGTAAAAAATCCCTAAGTAGTGGTGGTGGCACACACATTTAATCCCAGCACTCAGGTGGCAGAGTCAGACAGATCTCTGTGAGTCTACAAGAACTAATCCCAGGACAGCTAGGGTACACAGAAAAAACTTGTCTCAACAAAAAATCCTAAGTGGTAGCCAGGCCATGCCATTTTTCATAAGTATGATTTTTATTTAAATTAAAAACATGCATGCTTCAAATGTCAACCCAGCTCCCCACTTCTCTCTCCAGCATCCCCACCCCCACCCTCAATCCCCAGTTCATGCCATTTTTTTTAAAGCACCTTCATTTTGGTTGAACTGTGACAATGATCAAAACCATAGTAAATTGGTCTCCAGAACAGAATAATGTAATTTTCCTGGATTAATGCCCTCCCAATCTTCATAGAGGATTCAGATACAGCTTGACTATAAGCACATACTGTGGGGTATCCATCAACCACTTTGTATATAACACCCACCTTCCTCTCAATTCTGTAAGAAGGAACCCTCCAGCTGTGCCACAGTGAACTCTCCTGAACTATCCTCAGTCACTTGTCATACTTCTGTGTCTGGCTATGGTGTTACTACAATAACTCTTCTCATAAACCTCTTATACAGAAGTACATTCTGTTTCAGTGTCCCCCTTGAACTGTAAGCCTGAAACCTCCCAGTAAGTTGGATTCTTAGCATCAATAACAGTCATACTAAGAATATGTAAAATGAAATGCTGTGTAATTATGAAAAGTAATGGGAAAAGTGGAAACAGTTATCTTTTTATTTCAACTAAAATAATCTTATTTTATATACCAATCCAAGTTCCCTCTCCCTCCCATCATCCTACTCCTCCCTCCAACTCCCCATCCCCCTCTCCATCCACTTCTCAGAGAGGGTGAGGCCTCCGATGGGGTATCATCAAAGTCTGCCACATCATTTTGGGGCAGTACCTAGCTCCTTCCCTGTGTATCTAGGATGAAAGAGTATCCTTCCATAGTGAATGGGCTCCAAAGAGCCAGTTCATGCACTAGGGATAAATACTGGTTCCACTGCCAGTGGCCCCATAGACAGCCTAAGGTCCCCAACTGACACCCACATTCAAAGGGACTAGTTCAGTTTTATGCAGGTTCCCCAGCTGCCACTATAGAGTAAGTATGGCAGTTTTTCAGAAAATCAGGTATTGATCTACCTCAAGACCCAGTAATACCACTTTTGGGCATATACACAGGGATGTTCACTCATACCACAAGGACATATGTTCCACTATGTTCATAGCAGCATTATTTGTAATGGCCAGACCTGGAAGCAACCTAGATCCCCTCAACAGAAGAATGATAAAAGAAAATATTTACAGATATATACACCTCCCCATTCACTGGTAAAGGATAATAACTGGATCAAACAACAAAGCAAAAACCATGGGAGGAAAATTGGGGAGTGATTTGTCTTTGGAAATATGGGCTGCAAAAATCTCCAAAAATCTCTATGTACCAGCATTCTACACATGATCAGGAAAGACTGGACAAAGCTTTGTTTGGCCTTGTACTATTGCATAAGCAAATCTGAAGTGAGGGTGAAGTCGGAGTTTTAATTTCCTGGCTCTGTTAAGATGAGCATTCCTTATCTTCTTAGAACCTGTGTGGCAAGGTGGAATTCTTTTTGGCTCTGGATGTTAGGGAAATATCTCCTTAATAATGATCTGACCACTCTCTAGGGTCCCCTGGTTTGGGGAATGCAGCCAGGGCGACTCCACCCAGACAGATTACAAAGTGACCAGGAGCCTGCAGAGAGAGATGGTCTACTTCTGCCCAAACCCAGGGCAGAGGGCAGAGGTGAGCACCAGGTCAAATCTTAGACCCAATTTCCTCCCGCTCACCCTTTCTCGCAACTTCTCACACTCAGGGCAGGGTGCAGAGGACAGAGAGCAGAGGACAGAGAATGCTGGATTTGCTTACACCCACCGAAAGGGAATTCTGGTTGCCTACCCACCAGGAGAGGAAGATACTCTTTCTACACCCACTGGAAGAAGTGATGAGGAAGAGGCAATATGAGAACACACTCAGCAACAGAAAAACAAATATGACACCTCCAGAGCCTAGAGATTCTACACCAGTAAGACTTGAGCACCCACATGCAAATGAAGCAGAACTGAATGACCTTAAAAACACCTTCATGAAAATGATAGAGGCCCTCACAGAGGATGTGAGAAAATCCTTTAAAGAAATGGAAGAAAAAAACTAATCATAAAATGCAAGAAATACAAGAAAAAACAAACCAAAAAGTCCAGCAAATGCAAGAAAGGAAAGAAAACACAAAGCAAAAATTATAAGAAACAATTCAAACAGTGCAAGTTTTGAAAGCTGAGATGTAGACAATAAAAAACAAGGTCTGAAGGAATGCTGGAAATAGAAAAACTGGGGAAAGGGTCAGGTACCACAGATGCAAGCATAACCAACGGAATACAAGAGATGGAATAGAGAATCTCAGGTGTTGAAGATACACTAGGAGAAATTGATTCATCAATCTTAAGTCCAACAAATCCCTAACACAAAATATCCAGGAAATATGGGACACCATGAAAAGACCATACCTAAGAATGAAAGGTATAGAAGAAGGTGAAGAAACCGAAATCAAAGGGACAGAAAACATATTCAGCAAAATCATAGAAGAAAAGTTTCCCAACCTAAAGAAAGATGCCAATGAAGGTACAAGAAGCTTACAGAACACCAAATAGAGTGGATCACAAAAAACGTCCCTTCGCCACATAATAATCAAGACCCCAAGCATACAAAATAAAGAATACTTAGAGCAGCTAAGAAAAAAGGTCAAATAACATATAAAGGCAAATCTATAAGAATTACACCTGACTTCTCCATGGAAACTCTGAAAGCAAGAAGGACATGGATAGATATTCTATCAACACTAAGAGACCACGGATGCCAGCCCAGACTACTATATCCAGCAAAGCTTTCAGTCACTATAGATGGAGAAAACAAGATATTCCATGACAAAAACAAATTTAAATAATACATATCCACTAACCCAGCATTACAGAAAGTTCTGGAAGGAAAACTTCAGGCCAAGGAAATTAACTATAACCAGAAAAACATAGG